TGAGTTAATTTGGAATGACCTTAAAGATACTATTTGTTTCGATTTACTTGACAAATATCCGAATGACAAAACTAGAGCTCATTTCGAAGGTCTAAAACAAATTGACAGATCATTAAGACGACACGGTACCGATTTAGTAAAAGCCGGCCTTCCTGACGTTAAGGACGATACGTCCGAACTGATTAGGGAATTGATGGAATATAACGTTGACGATTTAAAAACACTACTGAGCCAATGGCTCCCGTTATTGTCCAACGATCAGTTGATTATTTACAATTACGTTAATACGTTGCTTACAAATAATAATCCATCGACGATTCCAAGTCAAGATAGGGTAATTTTCATTGACGCTCCCGGAGGTTACGGTAAATCTAAACTCCTCGAAATAATCGCAGCTAGCGTTAGGTCTAACAATGACGTCGCCCTTTGTGTGGCATCTTCTGGAATAGCAGCGTTAAATCTTCCTGGTGGCACGACTGCTCATTCCATGTTTAAATTACCACTCGACATAGACGCGTCAAATGTAGACAGTTGGAATATGACGAATTATTGTCAACGTGCCGAACTAATTAAATTTTCGAAAATTATTATTTTCGACAAGGCTCCGATGACTAGTAGATTTCATATTGAAATGATCGATCGATCCCTAAAAGATTTAATGCAATGCCAACTACCTTTTGGCGGCAAAATTATAGTTTTTTCAGGAGATTTCCGACAAGTTGCACCGATTGTGAGAAATGCCTATACGCCGAATGTTATTGTAGCAGTTACGTTGAAAAACTCCAATATTTGGCCCTTGGTAAAGGTATTCAAATTGGAAACGCCGCATAGAGTAACGGGTAATCCGATATTTTCCTCGTTTTTATTAAACGTAGGTGACGGGAAAATTCCCGCCGTACCTGTTTACGGTACGGACGGTCGAAGTTCGACTATTCCACTTTTAAAGAGTGTGAAATTCGTAACGACCTTACACGATTTAATCGATTTTGTTTTTCCAATAGATCTTGTACACGATCCAGACGTATGTGCCAGACGTGCAATTCTTTCGACTTTGAACGTCAACGTACGACAAATCAACGCCATCGTAATGGAACGATTACAAGGAGAAATGGTGACGTTAAACAGTGCCGACTATTTGAGCGAAGAACAAAATCTGTTGGCTGGCGTTGTTACCGATGAGGTGATGCATCATGCTACAGAATCCGGCGTGCCGGATCATTTGCTCAAGTTGAAGGTTGGTTCGCTTTGTTTTATTATTAGAAATCTTAATTTTGATGAACGTTTGGTAAATGGTACTAAAGTCATCATTATTTCGATTAGTAATAAATTAATCAAAGACAGACGACCGAATGATTCTAACAACATCGAATATGCTATACCTAGAATAAATTTCAAATTTAAAATTAACAAAAATAGCGATATTGAGATGAATCGTAGGCAATTCCCTTTGCAATTGGCATACGGAATGTCCGTACACAAAGCACAAGGTCAAACGTTAGATACCGTAGGTGTCGATTTACGTTCGCCTTGTTTTACGCACGGACAACTTTACGTTGCACTAAGTAGAGTACGTTCGCCCAACGATATGCGTGTTTTAATTTCAAGCGACGACGTTTTAAATGACGTCGCACACGCAAATAATATCGTTTTTAAAGAACTAGTAGAGTAGAATTTTTTACAATTTTTTCGATATTTTTTTTTATATACAAACAATGTCGATGTAATACAGTCTAGACAATGGAAAGAGAGCAATTAGAAAACACTTGTGTTCAGCATTCACATGCAGAAAAACTTTAACGAATCTAGTATTTACTTATATCTGTGGTATACACATAAAAAAGAGGAGGTATGTGCGATAATGTTCTGTCCTAAAAAAGTTGCGCCTGCATTGGCCGACTGCGACACGAACTCTATTACTCCACAATTAAAAACACCTACTTACTGTGTTTACAATAACAGATAGTAGTACCGATCGTTTAAAAAGTTTTCAACGTTGATGGTGATAAGGCCTAAAAAGCTTAGTAAGCATTAACGTTATTACATGTATTATATGCTGAACGTTTTCAAAAGCTGGAAAAAATTATATTTACATATAATTTATTCCCTTTGACCCCTATTGGGTGTTTTATTCTATCGCTTCGGCGATAAAACAATTTTTATTTTTATTTAGCATTTTTATTCGTTTTTTTTATGTAGGTATACATACATTCATATTCAACGCTTTTATTATTGCTTGTTTAATTTGATAGTTTTACATTATTTTTATAGAATAATTATGGACATTTTTTACGTTAAAGATACTCTTTAAACGATTAATAATTAGTGTTAATAAGGAGCGTTGAATACGGACCATCGTTTCTGTAATACAAAATTGTCATTAGTTCTATTGTTAGTATTTAGAATTATGTAACTTTGGTATCTTTAAAAAATGTTAAAATATTAAGAAAGAAGCCAGAACATAGAAGTGGTCAAATGGACACGATGAATACAAGTTCGACGTATTTGTAAATACATTAATTTCTTTAAAATACAAACACTAATGTTATTTTTCTGTTTTAGAAGTTGCGGTTTCCGATATACTGTGGATTTTTTCAAAAGAAACATAATATTAATTTTAAACGTACGTATGTATGTACATAGGTTAAATGTTGTTTTGTACAGATTGTATTTATTTCTTTTCTAGTATCAAGAGGAAGGTCTAAGTGAAAGTATAGCGAAAGGCGACAAATATCGAGAACGAACAAACGATGTTAGGAGGTAGATGGTAACCAGGTTAATAAGCTCATCTGCAAAACAACAACGATTTGAAAATATAAGAAGTTCTTCATATGCTGTAATTAAAGTAAAGTAAGTAGTTGCCTTAAATAATTACTTGATTAATACTTTAAAAAAGACAATTTAAAAAATTGCAAATCAGAAATATTTTCTAATAAAAATAACTATCTTTGTAGGTAGGTCGAGGAAAGAATCTGTACACTCAAGTTGCACATTATAGAAAAACAAACCAGAAGATAACGTTTTAGAAGATTGCCTGTCTACTTACCTTTTGTACCTAGCGAAATAAGGTTTTAACGTAACCAGGCCAAAATCGTTAATTCGAAGAGCTATGTAAGTACATATAATTAATTGTAATTTCATCAGAAATAATACGTAAAATTTTATTTACTTTAGATTTCTACAAAGACCATTCTTCTTGAAAAGGTGAAACCGAAGATCCACATGATAGAAGTTATATCCACCCAAGTCGAATATGTCGAGCGAATATCTATCAAGAAAATTAAATTAGTTTGTAGCACTGTTTTTTATATTATATATAATTGTTAATGTTAATTGTGTATGTTAACTTAATTTTATAATTTATGTAAATATAATTATTACCTAAATTCAATGTACTATAACATATCTTATAAAAGAATAAAAAATATTTTTACAAAAACTTTTATAATTTTAAATAACTATTTTATTATTAATTATTATTATATTCTATTATTTTCAACTCGCAATCAGTAAATAGTGTTATCGGTATTAACTGTATGTTTACGACTTTTCTATATTTAACTACTTCAGCAGCCTCTTACAATTTAGGTCAGTAATAAAAACAGGGATGCGCAATGCGCAACCCCCTTTCCGGGAAAAAAAAAGAAAGAAAGATCAATTACCACGTTGTCAGAACTAAATCCAATTCTATCCTAAGTTTATTTGATTATTATATTTAAATAGGTTAATTTTTGATATATAAATGTGTATATAAACTATTAAAGAATAAAATGTCTAAATTCATTCAATTTTTCAATCGATATTAATTTTTATAAAATATACGTCGTTCAGGAAATACTAATTGTGGCATCAATGTTTGTAAGTTTTTCAGCGCCTCTACAATTTTGGTTTCAACTTTCGGTCATTTGAAATTTTGATGGAAATGGGTAAGTCAGATTTTTTTGTCAGTCCTACAATAAATTAGATTAAATTGAATAATATCAATTTCATTATGCTTTTATGTTTGCGGATCGTTTATATGGTTTTGAGAACATTTAATCATTAGACCAAAGCCATTTAAAAAAATTAAAAATACAGGATAATGTCGTTTTTTGTCGTTTTTTGATAACGTCATTTTTTGCTTCAGTAATACACGTCAATTAAATGAATCGATTTAGATTGGAGATATTTTTATTGCATATATATTTCTTTTCATAACAATGGCACGTTGAACATTTCCTTTCTATTATCTACATAAAAAATTCTGTGAAATATCATTAGTTATGTCACAGTGATGTAGAAGTTGGCGATCTCACTGTAACAATGTTGGTGGTTAATTATATTTTTTGCTCAAATTTTATCTTGTAATAATATTTCAAACTAATACAGAAGTGGCATTTTACAAGACGCTAATATCGATTACAAATTATTCAGTTTTATATAATATTACTATTATTATGATATAATTTTTATCTTTACTTATATTTTTAATTGCTTTTGCAGAACCAGCTTACGCGAAACCCGCGGACCAGGCCGCTGACCAGCCGTCAGCGAACTCCGCCGCCCCAAACCGTAAGTGTCTATGCTATTTTTACATTTTACGAAAAAACATAATTTTGAAACATTGTTACTTTGTATTGTTCTTTATTTTAATGATTTCCGGATATTTTCTTTATTTTTGTTTTTGTTTTAGCCGCCGGAGTACTAATGGAGACGGAGGCCATTCAGGAACCCGACGAGGCCAAACCGGCCGAAAGGGACCTGAATGGTCCAACCAACCAGGGCTCCGGCGAGGACCAAGGGGCGGCTGCAAGGCGGGGACGGGGCCGGGGAGGCGGCCGAAAAACTGGTCGAGGACGCGGTCGCGGACGCTCCTCGACCTCTGCGCATGAAACGGAGGGGGGCCGTGTCGGCCGCGACCGACGCGGCAAAACAAATATTCATAAATATTTTATATCGGGGGGGTCAAATAAAATTTTTATAAGTTAATTATTTGTTTTATTTTTTATTAATAATTATTTCAGATGAAAACTACAAATAATTTTTCTCATTTGTACGATTTTTCTGTTTTTAGGAATGCTGAAGCCATCCGAGAGAGGATTAGAATGCAGGGAGAATGTAATTGCCGTAAATTTGGATATTTTGGTGTGTTTCATGGTAAATTGGACCGTATTCATCCTTCTTCCAGACTGCCCTGACTACATTTTAAATTCTGTAAAGGTAAGAATTGAATTTTCTATGAGAAAGAACATATTTCTGACCATTTTTTTACATTTTTCAGGTATCTGATGCCGTTTCAAGTCTTCCGAGAGAGGAGTAGAACGCAAGAGGAATGGTATTGCCATAAATTTGGATAATTTGGTCTGTTTCATGGTACATTCGACCGTTTTGTTGGCTTTTCCCGACTGATCGGCCTACAAAATGAATACTTAAAAGGTAAGGATTAAATTTTCTATGAGAAAGAACCTATTTCTGACCATTTTTTTCATTTTTCAGGAATCTGATGCTGTTTCAAGCCTTCCGAGAGAGGGGTAGAACGCAAGAAGAATGTTATTGCCGTAAATTTGGATATTTTCGTGTGTTTTATGGTGCGTTCGACCGTTTTGTTGGCTTTTCCCGACTGCTCGGCCTACAAAATGAATACTTAAAAGGTAAGGATTAAATTTTCTATGAGAAAGAACCTATTTCTGACCATTTTTCTACATTTTTCAGGGATCGAATGCCGTTTCAAGCCTTCTGAGAGAGGGGTAGAACACAAGAGGAATGTTATTGCCGTAAATTTGGATACATTCGACCGTTTTGTTGGTTTTTCCAGACTGCTTTGCCTACAAAATGAAATGGTAAGGATTTAAGTTACCCATAGAAAAAAGAGTACTGTTGGATTTTTCTTATACTTAAAATTTTCTTGTTTTGCAGGATTGGCACGGGATAATAAGAAGCAAAGGACAACTAGTAGCTTGGAATAAACCCCCAACAACAATTGGAGGCATATTTTGGATTTTTTCTGCCATTTTCAACATTAACCGAACAACCCAGTACTTCGATCGGAGAACCTTCGAACAATGGAATATTATGCTAAAAAGGTATGTAATTACTAATAATTCGTTAAAAAGACAAAATATCATTCGAATACATTCATTTGGAACAAAATAAGACAGTATCGAATGATTTTTTGTTACCTGTAGAATGAAAAGTAGGGTTAGATTTTCCTTTTACTTAAAATTTCTTTATTTTGCAGGATTGAAACTGGAAAAAAGGAAGCAAACAGCAACTGGCAAAGCAAAATAACCCACCAGGACCAATTTGAGCAACATTTTGGAGTCTTTTCTGGAGGCTTTTCTTTCCATTCGATCGAACAACAGTGTTGAAGAACCTTCGTAAACAATACATTAGTATGTTAATTGTGAAATGGGTAAAGTTTGATTTTAGGCTCCATATTTCTGCGCATGCGCCAATTTCATGAGATTTCACAGCTGACATCGTCAAAATGTGTACATCGTTGCCAGATTGTGCAAATGGAAATATTGGTAAAATAAAATTAAAATTTTATTAAAAATATAATTAATATAATATAATAAAATAGTTACATGATTTATGTAGTTAATACAAAAAGAGTTTTCGAAACTCGTAAAGAGAAAAAAGAAGAAAAAAATAACCTTCATATTTTTAAATATTCAAACCGCATTTGAAAAAAATGGCGAGACAACGAGGTATTTTGTTCCTTGTGGACCCCGTAGAGTTAATGGGTCCTCCTGAAGTACGGCAGGAAGAACATCATTTGATGGGACTGCCTCAGGGGGATCCATTAACTGTGATACAGTGGCTGGCGAGAAGGCGCCTCCTGGTCAATTCCCGAGAATGCGAAGTCTGTCACGTAAGTATTGCTTAATATAGTTATATATGTGGGGTTGGACGGTTGTTCAACCTCCTACAAGTCTGAAAGGCACGTGCGGGAAGCAGAAATCACACCACTTTCGAGAATAATGCTTTATTTCACCGGTTGCGGTTAAAACGGGTAATTTACATGAGACGGCGTGCAAGCAGTCTTGCTTGCAGGAAAATTCTTTTCTGTCTGGCTTGTCTGGACGAGTTTTTGGCGCGCGTCCTGCGCTTGGTTCCCGGCGCGTCACCTGTCGGGCGCTACCCGGACTGCTCGTCGGGATCTGCACGCGGTCGCAGGAGTTGTTTTCGGCGGCGGCGAGAGGGCGCCACCGGTGGGAACCCGGGTCCCACAGTCACTCCCCTCCCAGCAACGTCCGTCGGAGGCGGAGGGAGCGAAAAGGTAACCCTCTTGGCTGCTCTGGTCGGCGAGGTCGTCGGCGGAGAAGGCGATGGCGGCGGCTGAGGTGGCGACGACGACAGCGGAGAAGGCGATGGCGACGGCGACAGCGGAGAAGGCGATGGCGACGGCGGAGAAGGCGATGGCGACGGCGGAGAAGGCGATGGCGACGGCGGAGAAGGCGATGGCGACGGCGGAGTTGGCGACGGCGGGATTGCCGGCGGCGGCGTTGGTTCGTCTGTGTATGCGGGTTTGAGGCAATCGGTAGAAATTGCTTTCTCCTTGCCATTAATGTCGATGATAAACGTACGGTCGTCTAGGCGGTTGACTACTCGGTGTGGGCCCGTGTACGGGGGCTCGAGCGGGCGACGGATTTTTTCGAGCCTGCAAAAAACGTGTGAGCACGAGCGGAGGTCGGCGAAAACAAACGGCCGATGTTGGACATGTCGCGCTGCAGGTGCTGGACGGATGGCGTCGAACAGGTTTCGGAGCTTGGAGACGAACTCAGCCTGATTGATAGGTGCGTTTTGGGCGGCGATGAACTCCCCAGGAATGCGAAGAGCGGTGCCGAAAACCATTTCCGCCGGGGACGCCTGGAGATCTACTTTAAATGCCGTGCGGAGGCCGAGTAGCACCGAAGGTAGCGCTTGGGGCCACGGCGTGTCCGGGCAACACATGAGTGCGGCCTTAAGCGTCCGGTGGAGGCGCTCGACCATCCCATTCGATTGGGGGTGGTACGGAGCGGTAAACCTATGGTTCGCTCCGAGGAGAGCTTGTAGCTGGGCGAAGAGGTTTGCTTGGAACTGCTTGCCCTGGTCTGTGGTGATGGTGAGGGGAGTCCCAAAAATACTGATCCAACCTTCAAACAAAGCCCTTGCGACTGTTGGGGCGGTCTGGTCTGCTAGCGGAACGGCGAGGGGCCAGCGGCTGTATCTGTCTATGACTGTTAAACAGTACTGGAGTCCCTTGACAAGAGGAAGTTTGATTAAATCGATGTGGATGTGATCAAACCTGTGGTCGGGTGCGTCGAAATTGCCGAGAGCCGCCCGGTTGTGTCGGTGTACTTTGGCAATTTGGCATGGTTGGCATTGGCGAGCCCAACGGGACACGTCTTTCCGGAGCCCTGGCCAGAAATACCTCCCAGCTATGCGTTTGGCGGTAGCTCTTCCGCTTGGGTGGGAGAGAGCATGCGCCGAGTCGAAGGCCGCTCGTCGGAGGCTAAGCGGCAGGTACGGCCTGATGAGGTTGCCGGATGACAAGGCGTGGATTTTGCGGCCGTCGAGTTGGAGTTCCTGCAGCCCCAGGCGGGTGTTGGTCAGGAGGTGTGGGAGCTGTTCATCCGTGGCCTGAGCTGAGCTGATGGCGACTGCGTCCAGGGTCGTGGAAGTCGTTACGGTGCAGACTCTAGAAAGAGCGTCTGCGACGACGTTTTCGAGGCCGGGTGTATATTTCAGCTTGGTGTCGAACTGCGAGATGTAGTCTAGCTGTCTTTGCTGCCTCGGCGATGCCTTGTCCGAGCGCTGGGAGAGGGCATACGTGAGAGGCCGATGGTCCGTGAATGTGGTAAACGGCCTGCCCTCGAGAATTCGGTCGAAGTGCTTGATGGCAGCGAAAATGGCAAGGAGCTCCCTGTCGTACGCACTATAGCGGGATTCGGCAGGGCTGAGCTTGCGTGAGAAGAACCCTAGTGGAGTCCAGGAGCCATCTGGTTGCTGTTGGTCCAGTGCTGCACCAACCGTGGAACCTGATGCGTCTGTGCGAAGGGCGAGTGGGGCAGTAGCAGACAGGAAGGTGACTCGGGCTGCTTCGGCGAGGCTTCCCTTGCAGCTTTGGAATGCGTTTAACGCTGCGTCTGACCACTCAAGTTTGGTCCTCTTCTTGCAGGCCCCTTTGAGCAGATCTGCTAGCGGTGCCTGAAGGGAGGCGGCGTGCGGAAGGCAACGCCGGTAGAAATTGACCATCCCGAGGAAACGACGAAGCTGGGTCGAGTCTTCCGGGCGCGGGAAGTTAAGGATGGCCTCTACCTTCCTCGGAGGTGGTTGGTAGCCGGCGCTGGAGATGAGATACCCGGCGAAGGTGACTGTTGGCATCCCGAAGTGGCACTTGCTCCAGTTGATGCGCAAGTTCGCATCGCGCAAGGTCTCGAAGAGGAGTCGCAAATGGTGTAAGTGTTCTTCGTGAGACCTGGAAAATACGAGGAAGTCGTCGATGTAGCATCTGACGAAGTCGAACTTCCTCAGCAAATGGTCCATCATCCGCTGGAGGGTCTGCGCGGAATTCCGGAGTCCGAGCGGCATGCCGACAAATTCGAAGAGGCCGAAAGGTGTGGTAACGGCCGTCTTCGGGATGGCTTCCTCAGCTACTGGCACCTGATAGAACGCCCTCTGCAGGTCTATGACCGAAAAGACGACGCCTTGGGCACCCTGGAGGATATCCTCTATGACTGGAAGCGGGTAGCGGTCGGGAATGGTGCAGGTGTTGAGGCGACGGTAATCGCCCGTTACTCTCCATCCTCCGCTCGGCTTGGGGACGAGGTGTAGCGGACTCGCCCATTGACTGGACGAGGGGCGGACGATTCCACGGTCCATGAGGTCTGCGAATTGCTCTTTGGCCGTGGCGAGGCGGTCTCCTGCGAGGCGGCGCGGCCGTTCGAAGACTGGAGGGCCTTGCGTGTGGATGGCGTGTTGCACCGGGAGGTCCGGAAGAGTTGCAGTGACCTCGGCAGGGGCGGCGAGTTCTGAAAAAGACTGAACGAGTTGTGTGTATGCCGTGCCGGAGCTTCCATCTGGCACGGTGTAGGTCTGCGCTATGGTGACGCTGTGGACCTGGGCAGGCTCCATGGAACCTCTGACGGCGACTTGGGTGAGACGGTCTAGCAGTCGTCTTCCTTGGAGGTCGATTAGGATCCCGTAGCGAGCCAGGATGTCGGCTCCAATGATGGCCGTTTGTACGTCGGCGACGACGAAGCGCCAGGCAACTGGCCGGCGGAGACCCAAGTCGAGGACAAGCTGGCGATGTCCGTACGTGGCGATCGGCGATGCGTTGGCTGCCTGGAGGACCAGGTCTTGGCGTTGCGGGCTTCCGGCTACGGTTGTCCTGGGGATGATGGAAACCACTGAGCCGGAGTCGACGAGGAAGCGGATGGAGGTTGTTCGGTCTAGAACATGGAGACGGTTCTCGGCGTGGAAGGTGCCGGCGACGTCCTGTCCACGGATCGCCGGCGTTCCTAGTTTTCCGACGTTGAAGGGCCAGCTGCTGCGATGACGCCTGGCCAGGCGCACGGCGGCTTACAGCGGTTGGCTTGGGCTCCCCACCGCATGTGGTACCAGCAGACACCAGGAGGAGCGTTGGCGGCTGGAGTTGCGGAGCGGTCACGGTGTTGGGATGCGGATCGTCCGGTGGAACGACTGCGTCTCGTCTGGTCCTCCTTCGTGGAGGAAATGAGCTGCGAAATCATCCGGCGTAGGGCGGCAACTTCCTGGGCCAGATCGGACGATGTTACCAATGGCGGGTTCGCTGTCGGGGCTGGAAGTGCGGGAGTGTGCTGACGTGCCGGTGGTGCGGGGTATGCGGCGGCCATGACGGGTGGACCGCAATCGTGGACCTCATCTGCGGCCTCAGCTAGTTCGGCGAGGCTCTTCCCCCGGAAGAGTCGTAGAATGCGACGGGTGGCGGGCGGTAGGAGGTCCAGCCACTTAATCCGCAGAACATCGTCGCTGACGCCCCCTTTCGCCAAGGATTGCATCTGCCTAAGGAGCTGCGAAGGCTTGCGATCGCCGAGCTCCAGTCCCGTGAGGAGCTTATGTAGCTGTAGGTCTGCGGAGTCCGTCATCCGCTGGAGGATAGCTGCCTTGAGTGATACATACTTGTTCGCTGCAGGTGGGTCGCGGAGGACGTCGGCCACCTCCCGTATCGTATCTGGGTCCAGAGCGGCGACCACCAGGTGATACCGCGTGTTGTCGTTGTGCACGCGGTGCACTTGTAGAGCGGATTCGATCTGGATAAACCAAAGTTCCGGATCGACGCGCCAAAACGAGGGTAATCTGCAGTTGCTGACGGCGCCGACTGCTGGTTGAGCGCTGCTGGAACCCGGAGGGGATCCTTGGGCGGCGGGAATCGGACCGGCACGTGCCTCGTCGTCGGATTCAGCGCCGTTTACGTCGTTGGGCGCTTGCATTGTGTCGCGATACGCGGTTGAACGGACCGGAAAAGCGAAAAAAAGTCACGAAATGTTAGTAAAACGGTTTACCTTATTTAGTCCGATGAACAGAGGAAAATGGCGGAGTCGCGGCGACCTGCC